TATGTGACTGTCTATGGCAGGATGCCAGATGATGCGGGTGGTAGGACGGAGGAGGAATGCAGTCAGTACGTGATGGGACACAGGGCCTGGGTGCAGCGGGTATGCCAGGCATGGGTCGGTCAGGAGTTGCCAGGACTCCATGACACTAGGGACACGTCAGAGAGAGAAGTGTCACCTGAAAAGCATAACGCTAGTCACGCTTCAGCGAACGAAACGCCGGGAAGTGATTTAGAGGATGAGGAAAATCCCCTAGCCGACTTTCGTGTAATAGATGTGGTAGGAGGTGGAAGTAGTACGCCTCAGGATCTTAGTGGGAGGTCGCGCCCTCACCAAAGAATTCCAATAGAAACCTTCGCGGAAGGTAATGTTGCATCAGCAGGCAGGTTGATGCAGGAATCGCCGGCCAGAATGGGGACTGTACAACCCCAGGCGGGATTCACTTTAGACATGCTGCGAGAACAAGCTAGGTTAATGGGTCTCTCAGCAACTGGGATGTCTAAGTTCGTGATGAAAATGTGGAATACCCATCAGGAGAGAGAGAACCAGTTGGAGATTGCAAAGGTGCAATCCACAGCTGGGAAGGGAAGCCAAACCCAACCCACAGAGCACGGCCCAGAGGGGCCAGTTGTTAAGATAAAAATGCCTAATCATATAGCCTTCGATGAGCAAGTGGATTGAATGGATGCATACATTGACCGCTTCGAACACGGAGCAACGGAAGGGAAGTGGAGTACGTCAACTTGGGCCCAAGCGCTAGCTTCATTGTTGAAGGGAAGGGCATTAAGTATATACCAGGGTTTGGGAACTCCCATGTGCAACGATTATGATGCCCTGAAGCGAGTCTTAATGAAAGGCTATGGTATTTCGACCGATGGAATGATGAGGGCATTACGTCAGATTAGAGTGCGTCAAGGGAAGACGTACCGGGCCATGTTGCAGAGGCTAGAGTCGAGCCTCAAGCGCTATTTTGAGTTGAACAACGCCGTCGTTCCGGAAGACAATACGTTGTTTGAGCTGATGACTAGAGAACAGTTCTTGGAGGCAGTAGAACCTGCGCTCCGTGCTAAACTCAAGGAAAATGAGATGGCAGAATGTGCCGACAGGTGGGCTGAGTCACACAGACCTAGACAGGGAGGTTCATCTGAGAACCGACGTCATGACCAAGCCTCAGGGAGCGGGGCTAGGCCTAAAGAGAGTAAGTCTAGAGTAAGCCATAAGCCACACAAGGTCAGTGGACCCCGCTGTTTTACTTGCGGCCAGCCAGGTCACAAGGCAGCTCAGTGTAAGAAGGGCAGGCGTGCAGAAAAGGGGGAAACACACGCACAGATTGCTGGTCTGGGTGCCCACGAGGGAGGTGATCCTCTGGAGCACACCCTGGAAACAGCAAGAGGTTTAGTTAATGGTAAATGGACCAAGGTCTTTCGAGACAGGGGAGCTACCACTCATATGGTCCGAGAGAGCCTTGTCGAGCCTGGGAACGAGACAGGCAGAACCATTCATGTAAGATACCCTGATGGTACACAGATAGATAAGATCGAGGTATCCCTGATTGTTGACACACCATATGTAAAAGGTAAAATACGAGCGGTGAAATGCAAAGACGCTGTATACGGGTTGTTGTTGGGAAACGCCCCTGGAGTGTCAAATAGTAAGAGTCGGTCCTGTGGAAGTGACTCACAGAGAACGGGACCCACACCAGCTGGAGGTGACGTCACGCGCCAGTCAGCTGGTAGCCAGGCCATAGCCGCCTCCCCGGCTAAGGAACTGAGGCAGCAGGCGCAAGGAAAACGGGGAAAGCCTGCTCCTTTCCGCCAACAGAAAACGGGAAGAAACTCAAGGAGGTGGGTGGGGGCTCGATCAGCTGATCCAGCCAGACCCCGCCAACCCCGGGGGTGGGCAAGGGTCACCGCCTCGGAGGTACATAAGAGGAGAGGGGGAAAACCCCTGGTGACTGTAGGTGTCACTGCTGCTCCCAGGGGGAACAAGGCTTTAGTAGCCGCGGTGACCACACGCGCAACGAGTGCGCAACCCACCAAAGTGGTCAAACCGCTGAAACTACATTCTTTGAAAGGAGTAAGCGCTAAAGAATTCCAGGAAGCCCAAAGGAGAGACCCCACACTCAGGAAGATGAGAGAACATGCCGCAGAGGGTAGGGTCTTCACCATGAATAAGCGCAGGTATAAGTACTTGGAGGTTAAGGGTAAGCTGGTGCGCAGGGTGGAAACACCCCAGGACACTTGGGAACAATTACTGGTCCCCAAAGAGCATCGCCTAGCTGTGTTTACTCTCGGTCATGAGGGAGTAATGGGGGGTCACATGGGACATGCTAAGACCAGTGAACGAATTCAGTCATCGTTCTATTGGCCAGGGATGACTGGGGACGTACAGCGGTACACTCGGTCGTGTGACGCCAGTCAACGCACCGCTGACAGAGGTAAGGTGCAGCCAGGGAAGCTGAAGCCTTTCCCCATCATTGATCAACCATTTAAGATGGTCAGTGTAGATATAATTGGGCCGATTGAGCCGAGGGCATCAGACGGCAGTAGATATATCCTGACCATGGTAGATCATGCTACTCGGTATCCAGAGGCAGCACCTTTGAAGAATATCGAGACCGTCACAGTGGCGGAAGCATTGGTTGGATTCTTCAGTCGCTTAGGTATACCGGAGAAGATACACAGCGACAGGGGGGCACAGTTCACCAGTGAGATGATGGCGGAAGTAGCTAGGCTACTCATGTTGCAGCCATCATTCACCACATCTTATCATGCTATGGGAAATGGGTTGGTGGAACGGTTTAATGGTACCCTAAAGAGAATGCTCAGGAAGATGTGCATAGAGCAACCCAAGGAGTGGCCAAGGTACATTAACCCGTTACTGTTTGCCTACAGGGAAGTACCCCAGGCAAGTACCCGGTTCACACCGTTCAATCTCCTGTATGGTCGCACGGTAAAGGGACCGCTGCATGTGTTGAAGAATCTATGGGAGGGGGAAGACTGTACCCCAGAAACCAAGACGACGTATGAGTACGTCATAGATTTGAGGAACCGTCTAGAAGAGACGTGTAAGTTGGCCAGGAAGGAACTCGCCAAGGCTAAGGAGTACCAGAAGAGCAGGTACGACCAGAAGGCCAGGGAGAGGAAGTTTAAGGTGGGAGATAAAGTACTCCTACTCCTCCCTACAAGCAGGAACAAGCTCCTGCTGCAGTGGAAGGGACCCTTCACCATCACTGAGTGCATTCACTCATTGACCTACGTCGTATGCGTAAGGGGGGTCAATAAGAAGTACCATGTTAACATGTTAAAACGCTATGAGGAACGTGATGATGCGTCATCAAGGTCGGAGGAGAGTGAAAATAGTGCCTCTCCGGGTAGTCCATCCCAGGGTGTTGCTGGTGTGTCCGGTATGACACAGACTGAAGCCGGAGCTGCAGAGCTTGGGGTTCAGCCTAGCTTCGAGGCGTCGAGCCGCCTAGAGCCTGGCCCTGGAGCCGAGCACTCTGCGCCTAAGTCAGGTAACACTACCCAGGACGAACTGGAGGAGTCACCCCAAGTCTCTCAGGGCGACGACGCATAGAAAACGGAGTCTCCACCCACCACTACCCAGCCAGAAGTGAGCTGTCAAAGTGTGTGTGACAGCTCGTGCACAGTGCACCATCGAGCTGGTAAAATGGTGGGGTGTTTTTCGCTTCCAGTGAAATAAACCCTTAGTGGGAGGTTGATGTCAGGAGACATATTTTTCCTGCTCTCTCGTGCACTGAATTATGTACGAAATTGCATAGTGCATCAGTGATGTGCACCGTGATTCAACTTTCTGAATATAACTTTTCCACAGTCGTGTTGGGTGTCGTTGGACAGCCCATGACATTTGCTAGCCATTGATGTCATTCTGATCGCCGTATCAGGTCTGAAGGAAATTACAGGAGGGAGTTGATTTCAGGGAAATTTTGTACAAGTCAAGTGTAGATAGGGAGGTATGGGGGGTTAACGGCCGTAGACCACCCCCCCTATCACGAGTCCACCTCGTGTGAGAGGGGGTAGCGTCATGAGGCAGGTACGCCATTGGCCAAGGCTACTGGACCTCAGAAATGCTGAACCGTGATTGGCCAAGACGCTGAGGGGTACCGCATGGTACCCCAGGCATAGTGTTGGCGGGAAAAGACATTCTTACCTAGAACGTTGCTAGAGGAGGTTGTAATTTCCCGTGCTAGGCCAAGCATCGGGAAATACCGCCTGCAACGTTACTAAAGTCACGCCTATCATCTTGCTATCTTTCCGTGTGCCGTGCGTAAGAATCCAGTAATCGGAAAGGTGCTTGTACCGAACCGTGTGAACTTGTCATCTAGCTGCGTAATTGTGGGACGCCATCTTAGAACAACTGGACTGAGTGAGGCGTTAATTATCGGGCTACGAAAGTGACATCCGCCGTCTATCGTATCTGTGCTTGAAGGTACTGCTGGGAGACGTGCTAGAAAAGGTTTCAGTGTTATGAGAGAAACCTTAAATGTTCTAATTCTGAGGAACAGTGAAGGATTCCGTCTCGGGTCTCGGGTCTCGTGTACCGTGTAACACCGTGCACTGTCATGTCCTGGGGTACCGTGTCAAGTGGAAGGGCGTGGTACTGCATCCCTGCTGTTGTGCGCTCACCCTGGCCTGTCTAAGCCAGTGTGTCCGCGCCACCCTGGTCTCTGTGTGTGGAGCTAACCCCGTGGTCTAGGACCCTGTGCTCCACCTGACCACGTGTAGGAAGTGAGGACGCCTACGTCATCATCCAGCAGCAGCAGTGGGAGTGTGATTGACGTGTATGTGTGAAAGGGAGTGTTGCGGGCCCGCAGGATTGATGTAAGTACACTGTTTCCGTTTGGGTAATAAAACTCTGAAGCTGGGTTCGCCCCCAGTGTTCCGTCTGTCCTCTGTCCCTGTGACCACCTGGTGAGGTGAAGGGGAATTGGAGACGTGTGAGTCTACCCTGTTTGCTGTCATCAGGTTGAGGTTGGGCCCAACTGTGATTTTGACGTGTGTGAAGACACCTAGTGACACATTCAGAGGTAGAAAAAATAGAAGCAAATAACTCGCTTTACTCTACCTCTGAATGTGTCACTAGGTGTCTTCACACACGTCAAAATGTACCGCGTATGTATCGCTGTAATTTGATTCCCTTTTTCAGCAGTGAAAGTGGTAACAGGGAGATTTCCCTTGGTTATAAATTTTACTGTTGTGTTGTGGTAAAGTGTGAATTATTGGTGGATAATTTACTGGGGGAAGTCATTTACAAGTTTTGCCGTGAGTGGCAAGGATGTACTGTGTTGTACTGTGATGTACCGTGTGTAAACCGTAGACAAATTGTCCTTGGTGGAAGGCGTTGTGTACCGTGAAGGATTCCGTGAGAATTGAAGTCAGTTAACGTCACCGGGGGTCACGATTTACTTAACGAGGTCACTTGTTCGTTGAACATTGTTGTGATTAACGTCGGGACGTGTAAAGGCAACAGTCACAGTGAAATTCACGCAGTGGAGGAATTGTCAAGTGAAGACTAACGTAGTGTTAACGATTTAACGAGCTGTCATTAATTGATTGATTAACGTAAGGGGTTGACGGTCTGTTATGATCGGAGTCAATTGCGCTGTAATTAAGCTGCTGCAATTTTTTTTTTTTTTTTTTTTTTACATGCAAGCATGCGATTTAAATTACAATAAAACATAAAATTATAAACATAACAGAACAAAACAAGAAACCGCCGGCCAGAAGGACCGACAGAACAACAATTACCAAAACTGGAAAGGGTTCAAGAAATGCAGAATACACAAAAGGTTACAAAATAGAGAACAAAACAGAAAACAATCACAAACAAGCATGCAATGCAAGCAAAACAAGAACATAGCAACAAGTTAAAACATTTTAGCAGAATGAAACAAAACAGAAGCGCCGGCCTGAAAGACCGACAACAAAGCACAACAGTATGAACAAAATGAAATATAATAAAAACAGACAATAAAATAGCACACCACACAACCAGCCAATAACAAACAAAAAAATATAAAAAAAAAGTTACAAATAAAAGACAAACACAACACGTAAGCATAAAATAAAACACATAGGGCACCGTAACAACACAACAGAAATACATGAAGACTAACACACACACCAAACCACCCGCCTCGCCACAAACAAAGGGAGAGTCACGGGCACAAACTACCGAAAGGCAAACAAATAGCCAGAAGAGCACACAGCACAAAATTAAGCACAAAAGTAGAAAATCATCAGACATACTTGCCCGGAAACACATCCCGAGGGAATTGTACATGGAACGCCTCCCATCGTAACCACTGCCAAGGGCTCTGACCATCCACCGGGGACGCCATATCATCCGGGACATTGGCAACAAACACCCTCAAACAGGGCACCCAAATGGTATCACTCCTGATGCGAGTGACCGGCACACGCTCCCACACCAATGGAACTCCAGCGCCTCCTCGCAGATCGGTAACAGAGCAATCCGCGCCCAGTGACCCAATGGCATCACAGACTCCGGTAACACAGTCCCCAAGTCCCCAACGGACATCCTCAGAGGAGGGAGCCGGACAGAAGGCACCACCACAGGGGCACCAGCGTCCACGGGCACACCACAGGCCGACCGCTGGGATACCGAACCGCGCACATCCTTCCGCAAGGTCACCACCAGGCCATGCCCAACCCCTTCATCCCTGGCAGCGGAGGCCACCACGCTCCACCGCGGAGAGGCCCCCGGTGGAGAAGAAACATCAGGCACCAACGTCAGCAGGCACATGGACTTCTGCCACCACTAACTGCGGAGCCAGCGACGCATCCGGAACCACTCCATCCACACCTGAAGACCCACAGTCACTAAATTCCCCAACATTAGCCCAGGCAGACGACGAACGCCGGGAACGTCTGGGCACCTGCCTGAGATCGTCAGAGCCGGAAGCTGACTCAGAAACACGGGCCCCACTAACCGGACGAACTGACGCCCGCCGCAGAACAGCAGCAGCCTCGACCACAGGGGGAACTGGACCACACACATCAGGGGCCTCCACAGCCACCCCAGCACCCAGCACAGCCGGGACTCGAGGCGAGGATGCAGGGTCAGGCGCAGCAGCTGAAGTCGGGTGTGCACACGGCGATGCCTCACAGGGAGCAACAGGAAGGTCCACGGGAGCAACAGTGACAGGAGCAGGAGTAGCATCCGACGGCACCACAACATCCGGAGGAGGGTCGATGACAACCGGGGGAACGTCGGGCGACGCAGGGGAAGCTTCAGCAACGAGCGGGACGCTCACCTCCTCACCCCCGGAGTCCTCGTCCAGAGGGAGCGGCGGGAAATCCTCTTCCCGGAACAAGTTGACTTGAGCAACCGGGGCTGCATCGCACCCGGCAGCCTGATGCCCCAACAGGCCACACCGGAAACAGGTACGAGGCTGCCGGGCATAGTATACCCGGACGTAGTACCCCAGAAGCCGGACCGAAGATGGAATATCCGACCGCAGGCGCATCCCCAGGGTGCGAACGTTCGTCCGCCTACCTGCATACCTCCCAGAGGAGAGCGTGTTGACCCGCACACTGATGACCGCTCCAAACCGCTGAAAGTAACGCCGGAGAACGTCCTCGGGAAACTCCAGGGGCGCCCCATGCACACTGACATACATCAGTGCACCACTACGGTCCGAGATGGATACAGAGCCGGCACCACCCGGCAGCGACAACGAACGTCCCTCGTAACGACGGAGAAAATCACGGTACTCCTCCTCCGTCACGAACTTGATGACAACCCGGTGATCAGTTACAAGCTCAATACCGTAAACGGCCATCACAGGGACACGGAGCATGTCGCACATGACCATTTCAATAGCCGCATATCCAGCACGACCAGTGAACTCCAGGCCCACAGAGTTCACGCGCTTAACAGGAGGAAGGGGACCACCCATGGCAAGCTCACCACGTCAACACGCAGCCAGCAACAACAGCAGGGGGGGGGTGGGGGCAGAGACGCCCACACCCCCTGGTGACGAAGACAGCGAACACCCCAAACTACCAGCGGCCAGACGACACGTCTGTACCCCACGGCAGCGCCAGGTGGACTCCTTAGTGGTGTGGGAGTGGTACTTGACTATTCAAGCTGCTGTAATTCGTTGGACTGATCAGCTCTGTCTGCGGACAGGGTGATTAAGCACTCGTAGCTAATTAAATATAATAAGTAACCGCCACTTAGTGAATTCACCAGGTGTTGATGTTGTTGTTTACACGGAGTGTGTTGGAACCTTGTGTGTGGTACAGTAGTCTACCCTCGTTAAGGTAATCTTGTCGTAAGACCGGAAGTAAAATGTCAGTTGAGAGACAGTAGGTTTTGTCAATACTCGTCTGAATTAATAGGCTGTTGTATTCAGTAATTAATTGGGAATTACTCACCGAATGCTTGACTTTCAAGTTGATGTAATTAATTGATGTACGAGTTATTGCTGCCATTTAAGTGTCGTTGAGACACGTGTGTATTAACGAAATTGTTTAAATTCAATTAGAGTAACTTTTGTTTTTGATTGTCCTGAGAGACAAGTGTTAACGTAAGATTTTTTATAAGGGTTATCATTCTTGGATTAACCGCCTTGTTACTTGGCACCTCGTTGAGGGCAGTGAGCGCCAGTCAAGTTTTTGTGATTATAGTATTGATCACCGTGAAGCCGTGACAATGTTGATTGCAAGCTTGCGTCACCAGTGGGCACCACTGTGTTCAGTTAGTGTCATTAGTCAGTCAGCGACGACGGGATAAGGATACCGTGGGTCCATCAGGCTGTTGATTAGCTGTCCTTTAATGTGCCACTGGAGTGACAGTAAAGTAACGTAAAGTCTCTGTGTAGTAGTTTTAGTCTTGTTTTGTGAATAAATTGTTTTGTTATAGAAAACGGTCGTTTAAGTCAAACCTTCCAATATTACTGCCCCACATTTCATGTTCTGCAACGCTTTGCCTGCTTATGTTCATATCAAGTCTGTATCTAAAGCTCGAGTCCATTGCACAGCACCACACTTCTATAAATAAGAAGTGAGAATCCGTCGGCTAAACTTTATTAGTTGTCAAACTAATGACTGCCCGAAACGCTTTGCGTAATAGTGGCTTTAGGCATTGTATGTACTAGCTCTATCTATAAAGCCAACAAACTTTGTAAAATCTCTTTATGTATGTACCTTTGCCTAAATAAAAAAAATTATTATTATTTCGAGTGGTTTCGCCTGGCGGTTTGCTCCCGCGGTCCTATGATCTTAGGCTTTAAGATTAAATATCTGCCACTGGCAGCTCTTGCTGTTTAAGGTCTGCCTCTCTTGCGAGGTAGTTACGATTAACGTAACATCAATAGGACTTAATTCTTTTGATAACCTGTCAAAGAAAAAAAATCTCACACGTTTCACGGTTTAAAGTTCTCTGTTATAGGTTCACTAACAGAATTGCAAATTTTCAATCTTGCTTGTGATGGCGATGAGTCACAATAACGTGGCTGAAGAATGTTGACCATACCACACACTAAAAGGTAAAGGGACGACGACGTTTCGGTCCGTCCTGGACCATTCACAAGTCGATTGTGGATGGTCCAGGACGACTGGACGACCACAATGGATTTGAAAATGCTCCAGGATCGACCGAAACGTCGTCGTCCTCTAGTGTGTGGTCTGGTCAACAATCTTGCTTGTGTTGGTTTCTTCAAAATGTTTCTAAGAGTGCTTAAGGGCAGAAGCGAGAAAGAAGAAATGCCCAAGCAAAACTAAAGCAACACTGCAGGAGATATTTCATCAGGTAAAACACTCGAATCCTAGTGCAGAAAACTTTGATTAAATGAAGTAGTCTGGTCAAGACTAATATAAGGTTTTCATGGCAGACCTAAAGCACTAGATTAATTTGAACCTTGGTCCTGGTAAATTTGCAGGTATGGAAGTTTCTTGATGACTTCATGATACTGCTAGATTCATTGGGTACTAGAATTTCCTAGCCTCATTTTATTAATATTGAGTGTGGTCAATTATTACTGTCGAGAATAATTCTGAGTCTACAGTGGGGTCGGAGGCTTGGTCGCTGTAACATGCACCTGTTTAGGCTGCGGACCACTGATTGTCCAGTGAGATTCA